AAAATGTTTGACAATATCTATGTGTTGGCCAAAGGAGGACATACTATATATGATGGAAGTCCTCAACAAATGAAATATTATTTGACTGATTGTGGGATTGATTTGAATGAAAATGAAGTTCCCATTGAAGTAATGCTTAAAATATCGTCTGAAGGCATAAACTCGTCAAACGCTATAAAACTATCGGAAAAAGTCAAACAAATCAATGAAAATAAAAATCTAGATTTTTTCAAACAAATGAAACAATTACCTAATGGATGCATTCAAAAGACAAACAAATTGTTTAAGTTTTGTGATTTTTTGTATATTATTAATCGGTCATTTAAACTAACATTTTGTCGAAAATTGTCTAAATTATTGAAACACTTGTTACTATTTGCTGTGTTTAATATATTATATGGATTAGCATTTAATGAACGTATTGGTGAAGTGACCGGTTGTCTAAATAATGATATCGATAACAATCAAACATGTATTGAATGGCAATCGGATAAATCAGTGCTAACACAGAGTGTTAACTATATAGGTCTGTCCCGAGTCGTATCATTTGCAATACATTTAGCTATTATGACAACAAGTTTTTCATCGGAATTCATAGTATTTAATACAGAATATAAAAACAGTAAGTATTTCTTGAAAACAAATATTCTTAGAAAATATATTCTAATTTTATAAATATAATAATTTTAATAAATTTAATTTTATATATTGTAATCTATATAATAGATTGGTATAGTTCGGGCGTATTTTTCTGGTCCCGTTTTATAGTGGATTGTATAATAACTTTAATCTACTCGTCAATACAGATAACGGTTACGGCATATTATTATCTACCGATGATAACTATGGTCAGGTATGTCTGGATGTTGGCTGTACTAACGTTGACTCTATTGTGCAATCAGACAATAGGATCCATGATTGGCATTATATTTAGCAAAAATAATATTATAGCCTTTTCATTGTCATTAGTAACACTGAGCTCATTGACATCGTATGACACTTATATGGTTTCCTATGACGATATGACCTATTCATATCAATTAGCCAGTGATATGTCATATTTTGCTTATACATTCAAAATGACATTAATAGCAATGTATGGCTGGGATCGGTGTCCAAACAATAACACTTCAAACTATGTATTACTTGAATACGATATAAAAGATTCAAGAATATTCTACACGTTATTAGTTAAATATTTGATTCAATATTTTGTATTAATTATATTAATGTTTATAGTATTTCAATGCAAAGTTCAAAAAATATTTAGCAAAATATTTTTAAAAATATTACTTAAAAAATTAATTAGATTTAAAAGCATAAAAAACAACATTACAAAGGATCCAAATAATTGTAGTAATATATCTGTAATTAATATTAACATTGAAGATACCAATCATCAATTCATTAGAAATAGTAATAATAATTTGATAATTGCTTGGATTAATTTGACTTTAACCAGATATGTGACAAAATATAATAAAGTTTACAAATCAACAATTATTTTAAATAATATTAGTGGAAGTATTGAAAGTCAATCGTTAACTGCAGTGATGGGACCATCGGGAGCCGGCAAAACAACACTATTAAAGTGTTTGACTTCAAACTATGGCAATCACTTATCAGATAATAGTAAAATATATTTAACTGAAAATTATAGTAAATCATGTTTTATTAAACAAAATATTAGTGAACATCTACTGAGCGGACTGACCGTCAAACAGACACTACTTTATGCTTCAAAACTAAAAAATTCAGAAATTGTTGGACAGTTAGATCATAATAAAATAGTCAACGCTTTAATGACTGAATTGCTTATCAGTGATATCGCCGATAACTGTGTCTCAAGTTGTAGTGGTGGTGAACGCAAACGTATAGTAATAGCCAGTGAACTGACTTCACAAATAAAACCAAATCTTTTAATTATTGATGAGCCGACCTCTGGTTTGGACAGTAATGCGGCCCTATATATCATACAATCTCTTAAATCACTGTCCCGTTATCATCACATGACAATCATTATTAGCATACATCAGCCAAACAACGAGTTATTTAACATATTTGATAAAATCTATGTGTTGGCCAAAGGAGGACACGCTATATATGAGGGAAGTCCTCGAGATCTGAAACAAACAATGATTGAGACAAATATTGATTTCAATGACAATGAAGTGCCGATTGAAGTACTGTTGAAAATTGCTTCCGAAGTCATAGACAACGAAATAATTCAAAATTTATCGGCAAAACACAAATCCAAACAAAACATATTAAAACATATTATAATCGATGAAAATTTGAAGACTAGTGATCACACAAATCAATTCCTTACAAAACGTTTTTCAATTAAAGATTTATATACATTATTGAAACGTTTAATGCTTTACTCTTATATAACAAACTGGTATTTATTGTTATTTCAAGTCATTATATTTATTACATTTGCCGTTGAAATCTTCACGTTATTTAATGGAGATATCATTAAACCCGATGGTTGTATTGACAATGATTTCGGTAGTCTTATGGGTTGTAATCAAACTGATAACAAACTACGAAATGAAGTATTAATTACTAGAAATTTGAAATACAATAATGTAATTATCTATTCAACATCAATGTTAATATTACTGTTTACTTGTGCGTCGTTTTGTTCACAAATAACTGTATTTATAAATGAACATCAAAATGGTAAATCAAATTTATATATATATCATTTGTTTTTTGTTAATTTAATACTATCAATATTTAGGTTGGTATAGCTCAGGTAGTTATTTTTGGTCCAGTTCAATTGTCGAAATATTGCCTATCCTCATATATTTGATACCATTTTGTCTGGTAGTTAATATGTACCGATCGTGGACTATGTTTGCCATATACTATACGACAATCATTTTGTGTGTTTTATGTGCACAGAGTTGGTCACAGATGTTGTCCACACTGTTCAGGAAAGACATCAAAATAATGATTACAATAGCATTGATAGTGTTTTCTTATCTTATCTGTTGATGAATGCATTGATTCCTATCAATGAATTGCATTATTCATTACAATTGTTATCTAATTTGTCATTTTTGAGGTATGCCTACGAATTGGTAGTTTTATCTATCTATGGGTTTGGACGGTGCGATCATAATAGTATAAATACAATTATATATGTATTGGATATAAGCGACAATGATTTTTGGCCAAATTATGTACATTTGATATTTTTAGTTATATTATACAAACTGTTAGCTTTAATATTATTTATTACAAAATTTAATACTGTTTTCAAAAATAATAACAATCCAACAGTTAATTATAATTAATAAATACTTATTTTTATTTAAGTTATGATAAATTAAAAATAATATAATTTTTGAAATACTTTGTGTATTTTTCTCACAAAACATTTTAAACATAAATTATATGAATAAGTTTAAACTGTTTTCTGCTTTTTAAGATACAGTATATTAATGTAATATTTTATACATATAATTGTTGCTCAAACTTTAATTATATATAAAGATGATATTATTTAAACAGTATAAAAAAATTATTAAATATTATAATTTAATAATAATTTATGTTAAGTAATTTTAATAAGTTAAACTGCCGTTAAATTGGTTAAATAAGTTAAATTGCAAGTTTATAAATATCTTAAAATTAAAAAAATAAAATAAAATTATACTAAAACTATTTGTATTTTTTAAAGTATTGAATTTAGTAAAATTTACTAATAAAACAAATTATTTTTTTTAAAATTAAACACAATTTATAGCTAATTTATTTAATAACTAATTTATAGTTTATTAAAAATACTAACCTTTCTAATTATTTTTTAAATTAATATAATTTAGATTTTACAGAATTTGATTATCACATGTACAGTATTTTTAAAAAAATATTATTATTATTTATTTTAATGTTTTATGTGAATCAAAGTCAAAACTTCAAAATTGCAATTTATATATAGTTTAGCCGCCATTATGTCCTTATTCATGAAGTAATAGATAATTTTTAATGCATTCCTTTAAAATTTATTTTTTAATATTATAAACGAATCTGAAGTTAAATTTTTAAAAAAATTTTAAATCCGAAAACAAAAACACATTTCTAGATTTCAGATAACGAAATTTATTTTTAAATAATATTTACAAGTAATTTATTAAACATGTTTTTACAACAAAATCGAGTTTTGTCTAGTCTACAAAATTACAATAATAATAAAATATCAACAATTAATGTATTTATAACCAAGGTTATATGTAAATTATATACTATATTTAGATCCTATTAAGTTAAGTTAATTTATAAACAGGTAATAAATATTTAGTTTAACAATAACAACAAAACAGTAAAAATTATTTTTAAAAATTAAATAACACTTATAATACACAGACAGTAAAGAAAATCTTTTTTAAAAAATTGGAGTCGGAGTAGATGTAAGTGTTGTCATTAAAATATAATGTTAGGTTAGGTTAAAATTATGTAATAAAACAATAATATAATAGTTTATTTATTAATTCAAAATATGTTTTTAAAATTATTGTAATTATACCCCTCTATAACCGCATTGACTAACCAATTGCAACTCTGAAATAAATAAGATTAATCAGTTGTTTATTAATTAAGTAATTAAGTCTAGGTTTTAATACAAAAATATGACTAACCTTGGTACATAATCGATAATAATGTAAATAAAAGCTATTTAATAATTTTATTATTTATTTATTAAAAATTCAGTAAAAACGATATGAAAAGTTTTAGAATATAGTTGTAGAGTATTATAATGAGAAATTAAACTAATGATAATACTGTAAATTAAATTACAGTTCATAACTTTAAAAAAGAATAATATTTATAAAAATTTAGTTTAAAATTTTTTAAAAAATATGTCTAATAAAATAAAAGCAATTGGTTTTAAAGATCTTAGTGTAAGTGTAAATAAATGGATTAAATCACCAATAATTATATTAAAACAACTTAATGGTTGTTTTGATTTCGGGACAATCACTGGCATAATGGGAGCGTCGGGATCGGGAAAGACAACACTAATTCAGTCTTTGAATGCAAGCACTAAGTATGTAATTAGTGACGACTCTCGAGTTTATTGTAGTGAAAGTCAACCAATAGTTAAGCGATTAATAAGTCAAGACCAAAATGATCGGCTCATTGATGGACTGACAGTAGGAGAAGCACTCAGTTATTCCTCAAAAGTTAATAATAGTCACTATAAAGGTGTCAAACATGAAGAAAATATAACACAACTGATGACACAATTATTGATCAATGATATCAATGACACGACAATTGAGAAGTGCAGTGGAGGTCAACGCAAACGTATAGCCATTGCATTACAGTTGACATCAATTGAAAAACCAAACTTACTGTTCATGGATGAACCCACTACTGGTCTCGACTCTAATGCAGCTTTTGAGGTATAAATTTTAAAAATAAATATATTTATTTTTAGTAATAATAGTAAATAATTATTTATTTTTTTAAGCTAATGAAATGTTTGCTAATTTTGTCGAAAACACATAACATTGCAATTATTGTTAGTATACATCAGCCAAACAATGATTTGTTTAAAATGTTTGACAACATCTATGTGTTGGCCAAAGGAGGACATACTATATATGATGGAAGTCCTCAACAAATGAAACATTATTTGACTGATTGTGGGATTGATTTGAATGAAAATGAAGTTCCCATTGAAGTGATGCTTAAAATATCTTCTGAAGGCATAAACTCTTCAAACGCTATAAAGCTATCGGAAAAAGTCAAACAAATCAATGAAAATAAAAATCTAGATTTTTTCAAACAAATGAAACAATTACCTAATGGATGCATTCAAACGATACACAAATCATTTAATTTCAGTGATTTTTGGTATATATTTGAGCGATCGTTTAAACTAACATTTTGCCGACAATCGTCTAAATTACTAAAACAGTTGTTACCGTTTGCTGTGTTTAACATATTGTATGGATCGGTATTTAATGAACGCATAGGTGAAGTGACCGGTTGTCTGAATAATAATGATATCGACAACAATCAAACATGTATTGAATGGCAATCGGATAAATCAGTGCTAACACAGAGTGTCAACTATATTGAATTGTCTCGAGTCGTATCATTTATCATACATTTAGCTATTATGACAATCAATTTTTTAGCTGAATTCAAAATATTTAATACAGAATATAAAAATAGTAAGTATTTTAATGAAAACACAAATACTATATATATATATGATATATTATTATTATTATTATTATTTTTATATATTGTTTAAATAATTTAAATGTCAATATTTTGTAAATCAAAAAGATTGGTACAGTTCGGGTGTATTTTTCTGGACTCGGTTTATAATGGACTGTCTAATAGCTGTAATCTACTCATCCATACAGATAACGGTTACATCATATTATTATCTACCGATGATAACTGTTTACAAGTATTTCTGGCTCTTAGCTGTGCTAACGTTGAACCTGTTGTGTAATATAACTATCGGTTCAATGATTAGTATTATATTAAGCAAATATAATATTATAGCCTTAGCATTGTCTGTGGTGACAATGGTCTCATTTATGTCGTTAGACACTTATATGGTTTCCTATGACGATATGCACTATTCATATCAATTAGCCAGTGATATGTCATATTTTTCTTATACATTCAAAATGACATTAATAGCAATGTATGGATGGAATCGCTGTCCAAACAATAACACTTCAAACTATGTAATACTTGAATACGATATAAAAGATTCAAGAATATTCTACACGTTATTAATTAAATATTTGATTCGATATTTTGTATTAATTGTATTAATGTTTATAGTATTTCAATGCAAAGTTCAAAAGATATTTAACAAATTATTAATCAAAAATTTGATTCACTTTAAAAACATTGAAAACAACATTACAAAGGCTCCAAATAAATGTTGTAATATATCAATAATTGATATTAACTTTGAAGCTAATAATAAAAAAATTAATAGTAATAATAATAATAAATTAATGATTGTTTGGATTAATTTGACTTTAACCAGATATTTGACTAAATTTAACAAAGTTTACAAATCAACTATTATTTTAAATAATATTAGTGGAAGTATTGAAAGTCAGTCCTTAACTGCAATTATGGGACCGTCGGGAGCCGGCAAAACAACACTATTAAAATGCTTGAATGCAAACTATGGCAATCATTTATCAGATAATAGTTTTATATATTATAATAAAAATTTTCATAAATCATGTTTTATTAAACAAAATATTAGTGAACATCTACTGAGCGGACTGACTGTCAAACAGATACTACTTTATGCATCAAAACTGAAAAATTCACAAATTGTAAAACATTTAGATCACAATAAAATAGTCAACGATTTAATGTCGGAATTTCTTATCAGTGATATCGCCGATAATTGTGTCACCAATTGTAGTGGTGGTGAACGCAAACGTATAGTAATAGCCAGTGAACTGACTTCACAAATAAAACCCAATCTTTTAATTATTGATGAACCGACCTCTGGTTTGGACAGTAATGCAGCGATAAATATTATGCAATGTTTGAAATCACTGTCTAATTATCATCTCATAACAATCATTGTTAGCATACATCAGCCAAATATCGAGTTATTTAACATATTTGACAATATCTATGTGTTGGCTAAAGGAGGACACGCTATATATGAGGAAAGTCCTGGACATCTGAAACAAACAGTGATTGAGACAAACATTGATTTCAATGACAATGAAGTGCCGATTGAAGTACTGTTGAAAATTGCTTCTGAAGTCATTGACAATGAAATTGTGCAAAATTTATCGGAAAAACACAAATCCAAACAAAACGTACTAAAAGATCGTATAGTCAGTGAAAATCTGCTGACCATTGATCACACAAATCAATTTACGACAAAACGTTTTTCAATTAAAGATTTATATATACTATCAAAACGTTTAATGCTTTACTCTTATATAAAAAACTGGTATTTATTAGTATTTCAATTAATTTCATTTATCATATTTGCTGTTGAATTCTTCACGTTATTCAAATGGGATATCATTATACCGGATGGTTGTCTTGAATATGATTTCAGTAGTCTTATGGGTTGTAATCAAACTGCTGACCAAATTCGTGATGAAATACTTATTACTAGAAACTTGAAATACAATAATTTAGTTATCTATTCAACATCAATGTTAATATTACTTTATACCTGTGCAGCATTTTGTTTACAAATTAGTTTATTTATAAATGAACATCAAAATGGTAATTAAATCTATTTTATTTTATTTTTCAATTTTGACATTAATTTATTTTTTCCCAATAATATAATAATAATCTATTATACTTTTATTTAGGTTGGTATAGCTCAGGTACCTATTTTTGGTCCAGTTCTATTGTTGAAACATTGCCTATCCTCGTATATTTGATACCATTTTGTCTGGTTGTTAATATGTACCGATCGTGGACTATGTTTGGCATATACTATACGACAATCATTTTGAGTGTATTGTGTGCACAGAGTTTGTCACAGATGTTGTCCACACTGTTGAGGAAAGACATCAAAACAATGCTTACATTAGTATTGATAGTGTTTTTCTTATCCTATTTATTAATGAGTGCATTGATTCCTATCAATGAAATGCATTATTCATTGCAATTGTTATCTAATTTATCATTTCTGAGGTATGCCTACGAACTGATAGTTTTATCTATCTATGGGTTTGGACGGTGCGATCATAATAATATAAATACAATATTATACGTATTACGTATAAACGATACTGATTTTTGGCCAAATTATGTACATTTGATATTTTTGGTTGTATTATACAAATTATTAGCTTTAATATTATTTATATCAAAATTTAATACTGTCTTCAAAAATAACAATAAACCTAAAGTTAACTATAAATAAATAAATATTTATTAATTATTATTAAGTTGTGATAATTATTAAAACATTGTTAAAAAAAAGTTCTTAAGCATAAATCATATGAATATGTTTTTTCACACAATATATATATTTTAGAATTTATTAAAACAGAATTATTAAAGTATTATATTTTATTAAAAATTTTTATAATTTTTAACTGATTTTTGAATTTGTAAATATCTTAAAATTAAAAATAAGAAATAAAATTATACTGAATTCATTATTTGTATTTTTTACTATTTATTCTAATAGTTAGAAATATATTGAGGTCTTTCATTAAGGAAAGGAAAATAAAAAAAATTTCCCAAAAAATTGGAGGAATTTAATTGGGGAACTTTAATCAATATAGTATATTATTGTTAAATAAAAATGTTAGATTTTAATGTAATCATAACAATATATTTTTTAAAAATAAAATAAAAATTCATCAACTTACACTAACATATTTAAAACTAATATGAAAAATCAATTGTATTAAGATCTATATTTTATATAATTTATATAACTGTTATACCTGTCTGTTACTGTATATAAATTTATATATAATAACATAGTTTTGTAAAATTAAATTCATTCATACAGTATATCGAATAAAGCATAGGGACTGGTATGACATGGTTTATGTTTATTAATAATATTAATAATATTAATAATATAATATTATAGTAAATGTCTATTTGATATATTAATTTATTTTTGTTGACAACTTAGATTAACCTTGACAATTAATCGCTAATAAAATTTAATATGTCTAGTATTTATCTAGTTATAAAAAAATTCCTATTTAATAAAAAGTTATTTTTAAAAAGTTTTAATACAGAAAATATGTCAAATAATATGAAACCTATGTTTAAGTGTCTGATAACACAACAGTTGAGAAGTGCAGTGGAGGTCAACGCAAACGTATAGGCTATACGGTATAGCTATTGCATTACATTTGACATCAATTGAAAAACCAAACTTACTTTTCATGATTGAGTACATCACTGGTTTCCACATTAATTACACATGTATTAAGGTATAAATTTTATTTTTTTATTATAATTATTTTATAATCATAATAAATCATAAAATAATAATTTAATTTATATATATTTTTAATATTAATGTAAATTGATTTTTCTATTTATTAGCTAAATATAATTATCGAAAATTGATATATATATATATATTAAGATTCAATAATATAGTAATAGAAATAATATCTAATAATACAAATCATTAAAAATATAAAAATTTAATGAAATATATTATAATTAATTAAAAAATTTCTAATAAAATCTAAATGATATTATTGTATTTAAAAAAATAAGTTTATATTACAAAATTACTACTACTAACATTACTACACTACTAATTAACTACATATACTGTATATCTTTATACTTTATATAAAGTTATATTAGGGTTGCGATCTATGGATGTATGGGGTGAGGGCGGCTTATCCTCACAGAAACCAAAATGTTATTTTCCAAAAAAATGTCGCTAAAAAAATGATGTGAAATTGACCCCATACTAAAATTTGAATGCCGAAATTTTTTTAAAATTTACAAAAATTTTAATTTTAATTAATATTTGTTTAGTAACTATATTTAGTTTTTCGAACTTAGTACTCCTAGACAAAAATAAATTGCGAAACCTAATATATATATATATATATTTGCTAATTTTTTGACTTTAATCAAGGGAAGGGTAAGACCCAAAAAATTGTGATATGAGGGGGTAAAAGAGCTTATCGCAACCCTGATTTTAAAATGTACTAAAATTTCTTATATTTTATATATATATTTTATATGTTGTTTTGGAAATAACTCTCGCTAAGCATTTTGTATTAATGTTTAGATTGTTTATCAAAACCTATTATTTTCAAATATTATTAATACAGTAAAAGTCAATATAAGTAATTTAAAGACACAATTTGTGAGTATAGGATTAAATTTAAATTATTTAATTTATTTTTTAAAAATCAGACATACATTTATCTAATTAAGTCTGCAAAATAAAGTCAAAAATATTATCTATAAATATTTTTGTTCAATCATAGTTTATATTATAGTAAAACAACCATTGCTATTTTAAATATTTAAGTTTATTATAAAATTAAATTTATTATTTTAATTGACATACTTTTGATATCAAAATTAGTATAATTAAGCAAAAATTATAATTTAAAATAATTTTTTAATTAACTTTTTATTAATTTAATCTTTAATTTTGAAATACTCTTTTAATTAATTTTATAGTTTTAATTATTTATAATAATTATGTTATTATAAATATGTCAATTAATATAATAAATCTAATTTTATAATCAATTACAATCTTATTTAGTTTATAATTATCTACAAAATTGTCCTTGGTCACTTTTAAATCCAACGTATTGTTGACCCGATAATTGAAATTAAAAGCATCGCCGCTGTCGTCGTTTTTTGAAAAATTTAGTAAAACAGTGTAAACGTTAGTAAAATCCATAATTGCAAAAATAATTTTTGGCCTAGGTTAAATATTTCATATTAATTTTATTTAAAAAACTTCTTTTACTAATTTTGTCACATATTATAGAAATATATTTATTTAAATATTTGTGTCTAATTTTATATAAAAATTAATAAATAGTAATAGTGTTGTAAATAGATATAAGAGAGAGAGAGAGAGAGAGAGAGAGAGAGAGAGAGAGAGAGAGAGAGAGAAAGAGGTATTTTAATTGCCACAAAAATTAACCTTGAACAATTAAAGGTTAATGATCCAGTTTAAAAACTAATAAGATATGATATTTCTGGTATTTATTTTAAATATTAATTTTATAGTAGATATTAGCTACAAAAAAAACAGTATATTTGATGACATCAGAAATATTATAATATACTTGAATAGTGAGAAATTTAATATTGTAAAATATATTTTATAAATAGTTTATTTTCAAGTTTTTAAACAAATAATATTAATAATAAGTTATTTTTTAAAATTTTAATATAGAAAATATGTCTAACAAAATAAATGCAATTGGTTTTAAAGATCTCAGTGTAAGTGTCAATAAATGTATGAAATCACCAAAAAGTATATTAAAACAACTTAATGGTTGCTTTGATTTCGGGACAATCACTGGACTAATGGGAGCGTCGGGATCGGGAAAGACAACACTAATTAAATGTTTGAATGCAAGCACTAAGTATGTAATCACTGATGACTCTCGAGTTTATTGTAGTGAAAGTCAACCAATAGTTAAGCGATTCATAAGTCAAGACCAAAACGATCGGCTCATTGATGGACTCACAGTTGGAGAAGCACTCAGTTATTCGTCAAAAGTTAATAATAGTAACTATAAAGGTGTCAAACATGAAGAAAATATAACACAACTGATGACACAATTGTTGATCAATGATATCAATGACACGACAATTGAGAAGTGCAGTGGAGGTCAACGCAAACGTATAGCCATTGCATTACAGTTGACATCAATTGAAAAACCAAACTTACTGTTCATGGATGAGCCCACCACTGGTCTCGACTCTAATGCAGCTTTTGAGGTATAAATTTTAAAAATAAATATATTCATTTTTAATAATAATAGTTAATAATTTTTTTAAGCTAATGAAATGTTTGCAAATTTTGTCGAAAACACATAACATTGCAATTATTGTTAGCATACATCAGCCAAACAATGATTTGTTTAAAATGTTTGACAATATCTATGTGTTGGCCAAAGGAGGACATACTATATATGATGGAAGTCCTCAACAAATGAAACATTATTTGACTGATTGTGGGATAGATTTGAATGAAAATGAAGTTCCCATTGAAGTGATGCTTAAAATATCGTCTGAAGGCATAAACTCGTCAAACGCTATAAAACTATTGGAAAAAGTCAAACAAATCAATGAAAACAAAAATCTAGATTTTTTCAATCATATGAAACAATTACCTAATGGATGCATTCAATCGACACACAAATCATTTAATTTCAGTGACTTTTGGTATATATTTGAACGATCATTGAAACTAACATTTTGTAGACAATCGACTAAATTATTAAAACAGTTGTTACTGTTTGCTTTGATTAACATATTTTATGGATCGGTATTTAATGAACGTATTAGTGAAGTGACCGGTTGTCTGAATGATGACACCAATCAAACCTGTATTGAATGGCAATCGGATAAATCAATTCTTACACAAAGTCTAAACTATATAGAGTTTTCTCGAGTCATATCATTTGCAATACATTTAGCTATAATGACAACAAGTTTTTCATCGGAATTCATAATATTTAATACAGAATATAAAAACAGTAAGTATTTAATTGAATATTATTATAAACTAATAGATATTTAATTAATAATTTTGAACTGAAGTTTGACAATAATTTTAATATTAATAATTTTGAATCATATAGATTGGTACGGTTCGGGTGTATATTTCTGGTCCCGATTTATAGTTGATTGTCTGATAACTGTAATCTACTCGACAATACAGATGTCTATAGTGTTATATTATTATCAACCGATGATAACTGTGAACAACTATTTCTGGCTGTTGGCTGCGATACTATTGACACTGTTATGTAATCAGACTATCGGCTCAATGATTGGCATTATATTTAGTAAAAACAATATAATAGCCTTTACGTTATCAATGTTTATACTGAGCTTATTTATGACTTTTGACAGTTATATAATATCCTATGACGATATGTCGTACTTATATCAAATAATCAGTGATATATCATATTTTTCTTATACATTCAAAATGACATTAATTGCAATGTATGGCTGGGATCGGTGTCCAAATAATAATAGTACAAACTATATATTGATTGAATACAATATAAATGATTCAAAAATATTTTATACATTATCATTGAAATTTTTGATTAAATATTTTGTATTAGTTATATTGATGTTTATTGTATTTCAATGCAAGATTTGGAAAATATTTAGCAAAATATCTCTAAACTTATTAATAAAAACAAAATTACAAATTAAAAACACTGATAACGACTTTGAAAAGGTTACAAATAATTGTAATATATCAGTAATCAGTGAAAATAATTACATTATAGATAATAATCAAAAAATTAATAGTAATAATAATAATAAATTAATGATTGCTTGGATTAATTTGACTTTAACCAGATATTTGACAAAATTTAACAAACTTAGCAAATCAACTACTATTTTAAATAATATTAGTGGAAGTATTGAAAGTCAGTCCTTAACTGCAATTATGGGACCGTCGGGTGCCGGCAAAACAACACTATTAAAATGCTTGACTGCAAACTATGGCAATCATTTATCAGATAATAGTTTTATATATTATAATAACAATTTTCATAAATCATGTTTTATTAAACAAAATATTGGTGAACATCTTCTAAGCGGACTTACTGTCAAACAGACACTACTTTATGCGTCAAAACTAAAAAATTCACGAATTGTTGGACAGTTAGATCACAATAAAATAGTCAACGATTTAATGTCGGAATTTCTTATCAGTGATATCGCCGATAATTGTGTCACCAATTGTAGTGGTGGTGAACGCAAACGTATAGTAATAGCCAGTGAACTGACTTCACAAATAAAACCAAATCTTTTAATTATTGATGAACCGACCTCTGGTTTGGACAGTAATGCAGCGATAAATATTATACATTGTTTGAGATCGCTTTCCCGTAATCATTATATGACTATCATTGTTAGCATACATCAGCCAAACAACGAATTATTCAATATATTTGACAACATTTATGTGTTGGCCAAAGGAGGACATGCTATATACGAGGGAAGTCCTCAAAATTTAAAACAAATAATGATTGAGAATAATATTGATTTCAAGGATAATGAAGTACCGATTGAAGTACTGTTGAAAATTGCTTCCGAAGTTAACGACAACGAAATTGTGCTAAATTTATCGGCAAAACACAAATCCAAACAAAACACATTAAAACATATTATAATCGATGAAAATTTGAAGACTAGTGATCACACAAATCAATTCCTGACAAAACGTTTTTCAATTAAAGATTTATATACATTATTAAAACGATTTATGTGGTACTCATATATAACAAACTGGTATTTAGTGTTATTTCAATTAAGTATTTTTATAATATTTGGTTTCATATTCTACACATTATTCAATGTGCAAATGATTTTACCGGATGGTTGTCTTGAGTATGATTTCGGTAGTCTTATTGGTTGTAATCAAACTGCTGACCAAATCCGAGATGAAGTACTAATTACTAGAAACTTGAAATATAATAATTTAATAATTTATGCGACCTGTTTGTTAGTCCTATTGTATACCTGTGCATCATTTAGTTCACTAATTAATTTATTTATAAATGAACATCAAAATGGTAATTAAATCAATTTTATTTTATTTTTCAATTTTAATATTACTTGACTTTTTTCCATTATAATAATAATCTACTTTTATTTAGGTTGGTATAGCTCAGGTAGCTATTTTTGGTCCAGTTCAATTGTTGAAACATTGCCTATTATTATATATTTGATACCATTTTGTCTGGTCATCAATATGTACCGATCGTGGACTATGTTTGCCATATACTATACGACAATCATTTTGAGTGTATTTTGTACACAGAGTTTATCACAGATATTGTCCACATTATTCAGGAAAGACATCAAAACAATGATTACATTAGTTTTGATTATGTTTTTCTTTTCTTATCTATTGATGAATGCATTGATTCCTATCAATGAAATGCATTATACATTGCAATTGTTATCTAATTTGTCATTTTTGAGGTATGCCTACGAACTGTTAGTTTTATCTATCTATGGGTTTGGCCGGTGCGATGACACTGCTTTCAATACAATATTATATATATTTAATATAAGCGATACTGATTTTTGGCCAAATTATATACAATTAATATTTTTAGTTGTATTATACAAATTATTAGCTTTAACTTTATTTATTACAAAATTTAATGTTGTATTTAAAAGTAACAATAAGTATACTGTTAAAAATATTAATTAAATATTAAAACACTCAATATAAATTAATATACAGGTATACGGTTTATATTATTTTTTAATTTTATTATATTATTTATAGTTCTTTATTCATATATAGTGAAAAATTTGTGCAATTTTTTTATTAATTAAGTTATTATAAAGTTTTTTATTTATTTAATTCTTATTTATATAATTTGCTTATTGTTTTATTTATTGCAATTTATTGTGTATTATTCTTAGTTTTAATTTTAAAAACAAATAATTATTTATTTTAAGGAAAGTCTAATTTAAAAAAATAATTTTTATTTATAAGTTTATTATAGATATTGATTTGTTTTTATTTATTTTATACACAAATATTTATTTTTTCATTTATTAATAAAATATAATTATCTAAAATTGCAAAAAATATATGTAATTATATAGTAATAGAAATTATATCTAATAATACAAATCATTAAAAATATAAAAGTTTAATGAAATAAATTATATTTAATGAAAATGTTTTAAAAATTTCTAATGAAAACTAAATGATATTATTGTATTAAAAAATAAAGTTTATATTACTACCATTACTACTACTAATACTAATACTACTACTACTACTAATACTACTACTACTACTACTACTAATACTACAACTACTACTAATTACTACTAATACAACTAATTAACTATATATATATATTATACAATTATAAATCACATTAATTAAACATTTTAAATATCATAATTGTCCGAAAAAAATATAAGTTCAATAACAGAGCCTACTTTTACTGTACTAAACATATAATTGACAATTTTATAACAAAATATAATTAATTAATTAATACTTTCTGTTAACCAAATTTAAACATTAAGTAATAAGTCTCCAAATCCAACCATAATGGTAGGTGCCTTTTCAAACTTGGCACCGGCAGGCAGTGGCGGCAATTTTGTACATTTATCGGAGTCCTCTTCATAGTCAGTGCACATCAGGTTCAATGTGTTTCCCGCCATTGCATTGATATACCGGTCGTATGCCTCCATCGACTTGTCCTCGCAAGAGGGCGAACCCTTTTTCTGGGCGGCTTTTATTATACATGATTTCATTGTGTGGAAAGCACTGGTAGGCAAATAACATGACATTTAACATTTTATACAATTAATTATTATCAATAGATTTAATATATACTGTATCTACAGTAAATAAATTTATACAATAATTTCTAATTACATATTAATTTGAGTAATTAAACAGTAAAAAGTAAAATATTAGTAAAAAATTAATTAATTAAGCTTTAAAATAAATACAAATAATTGTTGCTATAAATTAATATATATATATATATATATCTAATTATCAATAACTAAATATTATGATAACTAAAAATTTATTAAATTAAATATATGATCAAAAAAACTATATTATAAGTTGATTACTTAAATTATATTATTAACTTTTAGGTAATTATTAAATGAATATAATAACTTACCAACACGCTTGGGGTATTTTAAATTTTTGATCCATAACATTAGCCTTTCCCAAACTGGTCATAAAGTTGTCCATACAGGTGGTTGACTGATCTCTAATAGAGTTACCACAGGCAGCAAACTGTATGACTTCCTCGCGTTTGACTGCTTTGGAACAGTAGGTCTTCTGATTAGACTTAACCGTAAAAAGCATGACATTTGCCAACTGTTTTTGTACTCCTTTAGCGCACTTATCGGTATAATCTTTGGCGCATTTAATCAAATTCAATGTCTGTTTGCAATGTTTTTGCATCTGTGGTCTCGATTCGGGATATTTTCGTGAATTGCGTCCAACAAACCACAGTTTGTCGGCACAAATATCTGCTTTCTTACGGCTTTCGTCATCACATTTTACCGACGATGAACTCTTTTTGGCTGCCAGTGCCGTATAAACTATTAAATTAATTTTAATTCAATAAAAAATCATTAATATTTGTTTTATTATAAGATATTAATAATAATAAATAAATAAAACATACCAATTGTAAGTAAAAATAATAATATAATACAAGAATATTTCATTATTATTTTTTGTTAAAATTATTTGTATATTAATAACAATAATATTACAAATTTTTTTGTGAAAAAAATAATTTTAAACTTTTTAACTCACTTAACAATATAAATAAAATCAATTGAAAACAATATTTTAGTTTATAATAAGTAGCTTTGATTTGTAATATTTTATATACTTTTTGTATATATGATATCAAATCTTATTTAGTATTTAATATAATTTTGTTGTCAAGAATCGCTGCTTTTTATAGCTCATGGATTTATGTATAAACTGTTTCCAGAATATGTACTTTCACTTAATAAACATACTATGAGTTTATAATGTTGTTGTTGTTGTTGTGGTGTTACACAAGAGCACAGGTAGTCAATCAATGAGACTTGATCTACAAGTTTTTCACTGTCGGCTTAATTAAATCATAATAATAAAAAAAAACTTTTTAAAGATTTTTTATTACATTAAATTAAATATTTAGAAAATTGTGCAATTTTTTTTAAAAAAAAGTACTGCAACTCAAAAATCATTTGAATTGATGGTCACGTAATCACCACAACAACTACACATATGATTAAACCCCACCATCAAGTAGCACAGGTAGTAGTAGTAGTATTACTGTATGACTGACAGCTTTTAACCAAACACGTAGACCATTGATTACATATTAATTTTTTTAAGAAAAAGATTTTTTTTATATAAAAAACTCTTAGACATTGTGTGTCCTCTCCCAGTCCTCTAAACTAACCGCACAGCACCTGTTTAGTAATGACATTGCTGGGTGCGATTTTTTGTACAAAATATTTTAATTAACTACAAAATATACTGTATATACTTTGTTAGATATGTATGAATATAAATTTATATGTTTTAAAAAAGTACAATTTAAATTATTTAGAATTTTGATAATTTTTTTTTGTTGATTTACTTGACATTCAAATAGTTTGTTAAACTGTTTATAAAACATATTAACTATACAATATGTAGTTTAATATATCAATTATTTTTTTATTATATGTTTGTTTTATACTAATATGTTTTTAAATAATTATATATATTATTAATAATGTTTCACAATAATAATTTTAATAATAATTTATTCCAATAAAAAAAATATATTTTTTGGTCTATTTTTAATTTAGCAAATATTATTTTTGATATTTTAAAAAAATAATTATTTATTTAACTTTTAATAATATTTTTAAAAAATTATATCAAGTAATATTGTATAGTGCAATAATATTGTTTTTATAGAAATACTTAATAATATTTAGAAATGTAATTAATAAACAATATAAAGCACAGTAGTGTATAAATGATAAAAATATTATTTCAATAAATACTGTAATTAAGTAATAAGTTTATATAGTAAAAGTAATAATAGTATTTATTAATACTTTATATTTAATATTATATATAAGTTAAAATAATAATAATTAAATACAACATTAAGGCAAACACGTATACCTGTCCTTAAACTTTAAAAAATCAATTATAAATAAATACGTTTTAATTTAAACTTATTTAATTAACATTTTACACAATCTAGATTTATGATAATTTGTATAAAATGCATTAAACAAGCATTTATCTTATTTGTATTAATCAATATTTAAAACATAATTAAAGTAGAAAAATAAATGTAGAAACTAATTTATTAAATTTGTTTTTAATTTAGAAAAATATTTGTTATAGTAATATATTACAAATAGTTACTAACCAAATATAAAGCTATAACATTGACCAAGGTCAATTTTTTAAATGAAATGTTAACAATTTATCAGTGAAATAACCTTATTGTTATTGACTTGTAATTTAATTGTTGTTTTATTATGATTAATTATAGTTAGTTGAACTATGGTTAATAACATCAGCATTACTATAATATAAAGATTATAATAAAGTATATATTTATTACTGTTTTAACACTATTTTTTAAAAACAAGGTAAAATATGACAATAAAATAATTTTGATTTAAATAAATAAAAACATGTTAAGTTTTACTAAAAATATCTTACATTTGTTTACTAAAATATAAATTTATTATATAAATAATTTGTAAATATTTACTAAAATACATTTATAGTTATAAATAATGTTTTCAATTTTACAATTTAATAATAAACATTATTTATAAAATTTATATTTAATATCAAAACTCATTTATAAAAACATTTATTTGATATTTATAAAATATGACTAAAATTTAAATAATATATTAAAATAATTTAAACGTTAAAATTAAGTTATATTAATGATACATGAAACACAAATATTATACTAACTTTTAGTTTTTTATTAGCTTGCAAATTAATAAACATAAAAAGTTAGTAAATTAAATTTTATCTAAATTGTATACATTTATATGATTTTTATTATAAATATCTAAATTTTTTGCTTAATAAAAATGTGTTTCAAATATTATTCAGAGACCTTGATATTTTTGATAATTTACAATATAGCAGTAGGTAAATATAATTTTTGACTGTAAATATATATATATATATTGCATAAATTACCAGTCAAAATTATTAAATTAATAATAATAATTCAATTCCAGCATGATTAATTAGTTATTCATATTATGTACTACTAAAACTTTAATACTAATACATATCATAAATAATATAGATAAAAAATTATTATAAATTAACTAAATTAATATGATTGTGTGCTGTATATTTTTAAATAAATAATTAATTTTATTGTAATAACAGTGTGACAAATAAAATAAAACAATAGCATAGCAATGAATTGCAAATATGATTGATTAAACAATTCTGTATTATTAATTAAATCAATGATAATTATCAAAGTTATTAAATCAAGGTCTATGTAAATTATACATTGAGATCCATCAAACTATTAATTCAATAATTAATTATCTTGATTTTCATGGACAGAAAATACTACACATATAATATTTTTTGATATATTTAATTAAATATTATTAATGATTTTTTAGAGTAATTTTATTATTATTTATTAGCAAATATGTAAATTAATGTACAAAATTAATTTATTTTTGTACATTTATCAATTTAAGCTTAATTAAATTTAAGAATTATAATTATTTAATAAAATTTAAATATAAAATCCAAAACTTTATTTTTGATTAATATGATATAACAATAAACTATTAATTATAAAAATCGTTAACTTATTAGTTATTTTCAAATGTAATATTAATTTCATTGATTTACAACAACAAAATTTCTTTATAGATTATGTATTCTCAATATAAAGTACTTTAATTAATCTAAATAACGTTATTAAAAATTTTTAATGTATTTATCTTAAAACTAATTATACTATTATAAGTATATTCAATTATAAAAATGAATAGCATGAAAAAATAATTATTTTTAATTTAATAATTTTTCTGTGCCAAAATTTACATTACAATTTCCATTTGTTTAGCTAACAGGAAAAAAATAGTAAAATTATATTATTTAAAATACAAATAAAAACATCAAAAATAATAAATAACAAAATCTCTAATAATAATAATAATAATTGACAACAACAACAGTAATTCATGCAAAACGCCTACACAGTGTAAATGTCAAATAATTTGGGTACGGTATGTCAAGCAGTCCATACAAGGTATGATGTACGGGTTTGCACAGGGATTAAGTGCACATACAGTATACAAACACACATAGCATACAGTTCATAGACAGTCAATACAGCAATATTTTCTCTACACATCAGCACTAAAATCAGATTATAAATAGATTTTGTTTTAAAAATTTTGTTTAACATTTTAACAAATGTTTAATAAAGACTATTTTTAATCTATATTATTATTATTATAAAATTATTAATATCAAAATTTATATTGTCTAATTTATTAAATTATTGAGTTATTTAAGATTAAAACTAATTAGAAGTACCCTTTTTACACTATTAATATAATTTTACATTTATATAATACACACAATAATTATTATAGAATATGAGTGTATTTAAAATTATCCGATTGTTATTATTATCATATTATAGATTATGTTTAAGCATTTAATTATGGGATCACTTAATATTATTTAATAAATATAAATAAAGTACTTCTTATATCATATATTTAGATTTAATATATGCATTGCATATGAATAAAGTAATAATGTAATTATATATATACACTGTGTTTAAGTACAGTATTTAAATCTCAATTGTTAGATTACATTAATATACCTAAAAATAGCACACATACACACACAAACACAAACACACACACACACACACTTAAATAATACATACACATAAACACACACACACTCACATACAGTTAAAATCTATTTTTGTGAATATATCATTTTTGTCAAAAAATATATATTTTTGTTGTTAAACTCAGTATATTTTTTAGAGGATTGAAACCATAAGGGATGTCATATAATATTAGTTAGGACTGAGAGTGTCGGTGCCGCACAAATATATACATGACTACCCAAAGAGGTGTTCAATTACAGACCCGTGTAATCAAAAAGACTCTTTCTTTGAAAAAACAACTCTTATGTCATTTAATTGTCACCAAAATAGTAATCACTGAACAAAAATATATTTTATCTCTCATTAAATAATTATTGCATATAATTATTGTCAGTTATTTAAGAAATTTTTAATTCATTGAATTATTTTTTATATTTTATTACAATTTATTTAATAGTAATTATTTTTAAAAAATTCAATTTTTAACAATCGGATCCTAATTGGGTTTTTTAAAAAAAATAATTTATTTGTTTTAATTTTACAAATTTTGTTTTATTAAAAAAAATCAACAAATAATGAGTTTGAAAGCACACGGCGGTGGACTCATCACTGGTATCGCCGGTATTCCCAATAAGTTTACAGTGTTTACGAGTGGCAAAAGTGTTACCGGACTTACTGTCGCTTTTGAAGGTATTTATAATTATTATTAAATTACATAATTTATTAGTTTACAAAAATTGTCTAATTTTAATAATAGTAACAATATTACTTTTTTCTAACTAATAATAATGTAGAAACATTTTATCATTAAATAATAATGTATATAATAGACTAACAATAAATGATAATTTAATAATAATAATATTTTTATTAATCTTAACACTTTGACTAAATCATTATTATTTATTCTATTATTTAAATGTTTTAAATGTAAAAAATAATTTAACTTATATTAATATTAATTGTATTAAATTATTTTAATTCGCTATTATAAAAGCAAACTGTTATAATAATATAATTATTTTGTTAGGTTAAACAGTATAACTTATTTTTTAGTTATGAATTAAAATTTTTAAAATTAAATTATATTACTTTTTTTAGGTCCATCGAAACCGGAGATCAACTTTCATAACAATAAAGACGGTTCGGTAGACGTGGCCTATACACCGAAAACTGGCGGCGACTACAAGATTCACGTTAAATATGAAAACAAAGAGATTATTGGCAGTCCTTTTAGTTGTCGGATAACTGGCGATCATAAAACACATAAACAATACGTCGATAAGATTAAGGTCAGCGGTCCTAATCTGGCCACCGGTTCGGTCAACAAGACTAACGAAGTTCACGTTGACTGCAAGGATGCCGGCATAACGGGAGGCATCAATTTTGCTATGGAGGGGCCCTCACAGCCTAAAGTTAATTTTATAAACAATAAAGACCTTTCAATTACTGTTCAATTTGAGACAGCAGTGGCCGGCGATTATAGGTTGCACCTGAAGTTTCAAGATCTGGACCTACCCGGCAGCCCATACTCCATAACTATTAATTAATACTCGTTTAAAATACATATATTTAATAAATTTAAAAATTTAACAAATATTATAATAAAAATTATATACGGTATATTGATATATATATATATATATATATATATATATATATATATTTATCAATTATATTATGTTAATTAATAATATTATAATAATACAAACTTATTGTTTTATTTTATTTTATTATATACTCAATTAACTCTATAATGCTTTTCAATTCACTTTATTGCTAACATTTATATTAGATTAACAATGATATTAATGTCATTAATAATTAAAATTTAATTATTATTTTTATTTATTTTATGAAATAAATTAAATACTATTATAATTTTATTTCTATTTAATGTGTTCATTTATAATTATTTATAAATTATAAAATAAATGTTCATAAAAATTAAAAATATCTATTTATAATACTGTATTTGATATAATATATTATTAAATATAATAAAAAATAGTTTGTAATAATATTCAAAGAATTTGCTATTAAAAAAGTAGTTTTCAACAAAAAAATTTATATAACTTTTTCATAATATTAATTAATGAAAACCATGATATTTGATATGACATAAAAAATCATTTATATTTTGTGACAGAAAAGAAAGTTAAAATTATTTGTTTAAATTAAATAGTAATTATCAAAAACTTTGTATTTTGTACTGATTATTTGAATAGTATTATTTATAAAGTTTTTATAAAAATTTGATTATTTTAGTAATTTTTATATAATCTACTGTTTGTTATATTAAAAAAATCTGGTAAATTGCAAATAAGTAAAAATATATAATAATAATAAGTTACTTATAATTTATTACTTGTTAAAGAATTGTTTATTTATTAAATTTATTACATCAAAAAAATTATAACTTATCAATAAATACTAGAAATTAATAAATAATTTTTAATTAATATTATTATCCTGGTTTATATTGCGAATATTTATATTTATATATAGCTAGATAATATTAATATATATTAATATAATATATATATAGCTAATTTATATTTAGTATAGTAAAGAAACAATAAGTTGATTAATAATAAGTGTTTAACAATTAAATTTATTTATATTTTTGTAATGTTTTGAAAGCAAATTTCAAATAATATTTACATTATTAGATACTGACAGTACTTTATAATGTACTTTAAAAATGCTATTAATTTTCTATCCTTGAACTTAAAATTTAACTTTGATTTGATCTTAAAAAAACAAATATGATTTCACTACAAATATTTTACATATATATAAATTATGTCAATTTAAGCTGATGTAAATTTTTGTAGATATATGTGTGACTATTTTATATTAGTAGTTTAATAGATACATTATTATACGATTAATATAATTTATATAAAATGTTAACTATAATAAATTATTAAATATTATTTAATATATTTATTTTTTATTCTATTAATTTTAATTATGAAAAAACCTTTGTAATAGCAAATTTACAATTATTAGCTAATTAAAAATATTTTATATATTTAGGAAATTAAAAAAACAAATTTATTTTCTGTTGAAACTGTTTTCACACATTTTAAGCAAAATATTTTTATATTATAATGTAAAGCAAAATACAATTTACTGAATCAGTTATATTTAAATCCTAAATATTTTATTTTTATTTACACGTTTATATATATACAAACAATATATATTATTGTTGCTTCTGTTAATGACTTATTAAATAGTCTATTAACTAAAAGGCAACTATCATATAATATATATATAGTATATACATGTGTATATATATATATATATATATTATAAATATATATTTTCACTTTATATATGATAAAAAATCTATTCAATGCAAGCATCAAAACTAATGCTAATGTGTTTGTCCTTTATTTAGTCTCTCATTAATAATAGGCAGACATTCAAAATGTTTTTTACATAAAGTCAACTCATTTTTGATGACTAAAATTGAGGGTTTAAAACATTTTGACTTTCATTTTATTTTGATGATAATATATACAATTTTAAAGACATATAGCATCACATGTTTGTGTCTGTACTGTATATCTGTATAATGAGTTAAAATCAGTCAAACTTTTAAACAACATATTATTTTAAAATTTTCCCTAACATTTTGAAACATTTTATACACAAATAATATTATCTAAATATATATATAGGATATACGGTATATATATATATACATAAATACAATATATCCCCAAATGCATACAAACTAAGTAAAATGTATACTTTAAAATCTAATAAATAAAAATTATTAGTTTAATGATTTTGTGTTTAATAGCAAAAATGTTTTACAGAATATTCTGAAAGTTTGTTAAAAGTTATCTTTCATTAGTTTTTGTATGTATTAAACAAATATTTATTTTGTGTAAAAGAAATTGTTATTATATTTCTATACGTAAAATTGAATTTCATTCAAAATATTCAGTTTAAAAGTGTAATAAAAATTAATATATCTAATAATAATAAAAAAAATAATTTTATACATATTATTTTTCAAAATTTCATAAAAAAAACAATTTATGATTTTTTAAAGAGATAGAAATAAAGATAACATTTAATATACAGTGTAATAAATTTTGTGTAATAAATAATAATAATAATAAAACAAAGTTTAAAAAAAATATTTTTAAGCAAATGATGAACAGAGTTAAATAATTAAATAAATTTTTAAACATATGTGCAAAATTGAAAAATTATTTTATTCAAATAAATATTAATAATAATAAAAATAATAACTTTAATATATGGCCGAAATTAATGTGTTTGGTCCGGGACTGTCGGGTGGAGAGACGGGCAAAAAGTGTATGATTTACGCGTCTGGCGCCTCGTGTGCCGATCTGGACGATGGTCTAACCGTTGCTGTGTCGGGACCGGGAGGTAGTAAAGTGGACGTTATGACCGACTTTAGCAAACCTAACGATGATGGCAATGTTGAAGCATATTATTTTCCATTGGTGTCGGGTGATTATAAGATAACGGTGCGATTTAGAGGCAGACAGTTGAAAGGCAGTCCATTTACCGTCAAAATTACTGGCGATGTCATCGATGCAGAAAAACTATTATCCAGAGTATGAGTTTTTATTTTATTTTATTTATTTATATAAATATTCTAATAGTTTATTATTATTTTTAAATATCAATTTTATTATTATTATCAGAAATTTTAAAAAATAGTAAAAATGTTTTTTTTTTTTTAAATTATTTCCGGTTTAATATAAATTTATATATATTTATAGTATATAATTAGTAATATATAGATATAATTATAAAATTATTAATTATGGTTTATATTTCATCACTTATAGCATAATAATGTTGTGAAATATAGCACTTTGGGTTTAATTCAAAAAAATATTTTAATTTCGCATAAATTTACGTAATACAGTGTTAAAAGTATTATTATATTATTAAGTTTGAAAATAAACTAAGATTAATATGTAATAATATGATAACATTTTATTTTACTATTTATAAAAAATATTTTAATGACTTAAGCAAAATTATTTATCTCTTAATGAAAAAACAAACAATTAATGAAAAAAATAATATTAAAGTTAGTTATTAATATTTTAATTAAATCTAAATAAAAATATTTAGTGTGAATAGAGATGGACAAATAGAAAGTTTCTAATAAATTTCTATGAAAAAGCTTCTCATGAATAAATTTCTATAGAAATTTAACTTTATTGTTATACCCCATGGATTCCCATATCTATAGTTATAGTAATACTATATTAATAAGATATAATATTATACATATATTATACTATACAATACTATACAAATGAGATACCAATATATAAAATAATTATAATTATTTAATAATAATTAGTTTTGTAAAATTGTATTTACAATTTTATTATATACGATATATCATACTGTAATTTAATTAATAATTAAAATACTAATAATAATATTTACTGTAATGTATTGTATGATAGCAAATATCGAGATAACAAAATTAAGATGGGTTCCCATAGATAGAAATTTCTTTTAGAAACTTTCTAGAAATTACTCTATTATTTTATAAATTTCTCTTTTTTTGCAAACACTAAGTGTGAAATAGTTATGCAATCAATTTAACATTTTGAACATTTATTCATTAATAACATCATTAAATAGAAAATATTAAATAATATCATTTGTTAATTAACTAACTTGTATTTAATTTTAAAAATAATTAATTATCATTGAACACAAAGGTTGCAGTACATGGCCGGGGCTATGAACTGGGAAAGGCCTACGCAATGAATGAATTTGTGGTTGACTGCAGTGGCCTAAAGCCGGTAATCGGTTCGCTGAGAGTCCATATGAAAGGCCCGGAGCGGTCGGCAGCTCAGCTAAACATTAGGGACAATAAAAACGGTACGTTTAAGGTGTCCTATAAGCCAACATCACCCGGTATGTACATCATGAACATCAAAATTGCCGAAACACATATACCCGGATCACCCTTTCAAGTAAAGGTCACCGAGTTTTTGTCAAACAAATAGTGTTAAAATAAATGACATTAATATAGAAAAAAATTGACATTACTTTTAATTGTATAATTTGCATTTGCATACAGTTTTAATTGATGAGTTAAAAATAAATTGTTACAAAACAAAAATATATAACCATAAATTATTTTTAATAGCTGTATAAAAAAAATGTTTAAATAAATGTCAATGTTTCAATTTTGTCAAAGTTTGTAATCAAATAAAAATAATAATAAATTAAATGTAAAATAAATATTAATTAACAATTATTTCTACTAATTATTATCTATAAATTATTAGAATCATAATAAATACTATTAACTTTCAATTTTAAAAAAACTCACACTTTCTCTAATTTAATTAGAAAAAAATAGATTACATTAAGTTATTTACTGTAAAATTCCAATATATTATAGAAAATATTAAATTTTTAATTAAATAAATATGAAATTATATTTAAAATCTATATCATATGTGACTTTCAAAATTGGCAATCAGTTCACATTAATAGTTATTAGTAAATTGTTTACATTTTACAATATATAAAATAAATATACAGTAAATAATTGCATACCTGTTCAAAATCACATACACTATCCAAAGCACTGGTAAAAGTATTTGTCAGGTTTAACGAGTAGTTTAATCTATTTATTTTCAATCTATTAAACAAACAAATAGTGTAATATTATAATTTATAATATAATTACTAGTAATAAAATCGTACAATAAATGTATAGATAGAAATATTTTAACATTTAATCCGAAAAAAAGGTGACATTTTTAGACAAATTTTCTCTATATAAACAACAACAAAATATTACTAATATAATCTTAGTAATAATTTAAATAGTTTTTATTTATTTTTTATTTGTAAAGATATATTGATAGGAAATTTTAAATTTCAATTTTAAACACAATTTTTGTCTATAAATAGCCACACATTTTGTGATAGACATTCATAGTAGCCGTTGATACCAATAGTTTTAGATTATTATAAATATATTGGATTTATTAAAAAAGTTTTTTATCCACTAATAATTTATTCTAATATTGTATGAATTGACAAAAACATTTAAAAATGTTTATTTTGTTAGTTTGGTTTAAATTATTTTTGGTGTTATTTTCAGGTAATAATTAATAATACATTATTAATATTAGTACAATTAAAATATTGACATTTTTTTTGTTTTAAAAATAAATCAATAGTTGACGTAACATACGGTGCCCGTAGTGCTGCTGGTCCTCAGTGTACAGAAGTGCACCGATTGAAAGCCAACAGATGTGCCGAACAGTTGTTTTTTGTCGGTAGAAATTCGCGTCAAATTCCCGAAACGGAAGTCCAACTCCAGAAGCACTGTACAGAAACCGGACCATTGATGCGATGTGTGACCGATTTCAGCAACCGGTGTCGTCAGGGTCTTCATCGGACAATGTCTACTGTAATGGTGGCGACCGTCAAGTTTAACAATAAAAACTATTGTATGATGACTGAGAAGAGTCAGGAACTGATGGCAATGGCTACCTGTAGTAATGTTATCAAATCAGAGACCAACCAGTGTTTGGATGTCTTTCTCCTGGCTCTCGGTCGCGCCAATCACGCCCATCGACGACATAGGATACCACACGGTTGTTGGTAAGAGACACGTGTTTTAAAACATTAATTTTTTACATTAGTTTTAATTGCGACTATTTTTTTGAACAGTGCCTACTATCAAATGAAAACATGTGTATTGAATGAGGCGGCCAAACACAACATACCAGGCGGCCGGTGTACTGGTCATCGGGTCGAGTATGTGGAACGGTATATGAATTCAATGGCTGGCAATACACTGAATCTGATGTGCGGCGACTACGACGAGGACTCGGATAGATGTCAAAAGTTGTCTCCATTGCCTACCGATGCCGACATTGAACCGGCAGAGTCTATATTTGCCGGATTTGGCAAACTTATTGGCCACTAATATAGAGGAATAACATTTTTACAATGATAACGGAACTATTCAGTAGCGCTGACTTTAAGATATTTTTTGTTTTTAAAATATTTTTTTCATATTGTGTATTAATACAAGTATTTATTTATTTTTTTAAACAATCATTTTATGAGAAGTATTTTTATTATTTCAGTCTACGACTATTTATTTGACATGTATTTATAATTTTGTGTACATTTAATCATTAAAGATGAAATATTTCATATTTGTAATCAATTTTTGTAAGAGTAATAAAAATAATTTTTTATGTAGATCTAGAAAAGTGAATTATTTTTTAAAAATGTAATGTTATAATATATTTTACAAAATAAACTTAATAGTAAAAAGTTTATTATTGTTTTCTTAATTGATTAACTGTTACTGATAACACAATTAGATTATGTAATTATTGCTATTATCAATGAGGTAAATAGTGTACCATAAAAACAATAATAAATTATAAATTTAATTTGTTAAAAAAAATTAATATATCTAATAAAAATGAATATAACAAGTGGTCGCATAAAATGTATTTTTTGTGTAATATATGTATGAATTCAAATACAGTTGATTTAAATTAATGTAAATGTTTTGAAAATAATATGTTTTTAAGGCAACTATCTATTTGAGACATATTGACTATTGTTTGAATTATTACAATTAATGTATATTTTGGGTTCAAATTTTATTTTATTAATAAATTCTTTATAATAATTTTATTTCAAAGATATTTATTGTATTTTTTTTGTTTACTAAATTTTAAAATATTTAATTAAATAATAAATACCGGTATTAAAAAATAGTTAATATTTAAAATTTAATGATTTTATGCATTATTAATTAGTAAAACGATTAATAATTTTAAAATAAATATATCAGTAATTTGATTATAATGTCTTAGTTTCCCTTATTATTTTAGTTAAAATATTATTAATAGATAAAATAAGTAAATAAAAAAATGTTTTTATAAATTAATTTTAATAAATCATTATTTTAATAAAAATAAAATGTTAACAATGACCTATTAGTTTTAAAAAATTGTCGATCAAAAATTCACTAAAAATTTATATCACACCTACTATCCATATTATTAGTTTTAATACTGTATTTGTATTTATTTAACAAAATAATTTTATGACAAAAATAAAATATTATAAGGAATAGTTATAATATAAACAAACTATTTTGTTTTATTATATAAATTTATTATTTTTTAAGTTAACTGTTTATGTATAAAAATATTATAGTAATATTAATAATTTGATTGTATTTTATGCATAATATATATTTTTACTATAATCTAATATTAAAATCGATTAACATTGACATTATATATTTTTCTATTATATAAATATATGTATAATTTATTTATGTAAATCAAATTTATTTTTATTTAAAAAACTATAATTTACTGTAGTATAGATTGGAAATACACGCTATTAACTAATTATCATATATTATAAAATTAAATTCATATAAATAACTTTAAACTTTTATATTCATTAAAAATTATTATATTTATTTAATTTAATTTAATAAATTAATGTCTTATTATTGTAATAACTTTTTTGAACAAATAATAAAACTGATTAATTATAACTCTATTAATATTAAAACTTAAATAATTTTGTATATAATAAAATAATAAAATTTTAACTTACATAATCTAAAAAATCAAATTAAAAATTTTGTATAATAATAATAATAAACTGAAAATGATTAAAAAACTTAAAATATTAAAATTTAGTGATAGTTATTATAGCCACGTAATAGCAGCTAAAAATCTAGAATATTTATCCAATTTATACACTATTATTATTGCATCTAATGTTGATGAGTATCTTCAAAATAAACCTAATATTAAAAAGTTTATAACTGCTGTCTTAATTGATTCATTATTATTAATCAATACAATTAGATATGTCATCATTGCTATTATACAAGAGGTAATTACTAAAATAAATTGTTTAATTTTGTTACATAATATTAATTAACATTATTTTATTAATAAAAGCAATGGATTAGTGAACTACTGGGTGCGCCCACTGTTCACGTATCAGATCCGATGCTCATCTCATTGATTATCAGTTGTTTTTCGTTTGCCGTTTACTACATCCGGTCAGTCCTTCATTATAATGAATGGTCGTATAAAATGTATTTTTTGCGATATCTTTATGAAATTAAATACAATTATTTTCAATATGTAATAAATGAAAAAGATTTTCAAAAAATCTGTTTAAAGTCAATGATTTATATGAAATTTATAATCAAACCATTAATATTTGTCAACACTGGAGCCACGATTGCTATAATGGTTTACGCTTGCAAACTATCCCTACAGGATCCCAGTTCACACATACCAATAGTCAATATGACATTTGGTCTATTAATGTATTCAGTGTTTGCTTATCAAACGTTTAGCTTAGTATTTGTCGGATTTCTCATATGGATAGGTATTATAGTATTTGGTAAAATCAAATATAGGGAAATACATGACAAGATGTCTATTATAATTAACTCCAGCAATAAGTGGCAACATTTGAATTATTTGAAACTATTGAAACATATTAAACATCACAACGGATTTACTGAAGTTGTCGACGATTTTAGTCAATTTTTCAAACATATTATGTTTGCTATCTATTATATGGTAACACCCGGTATATTGGTGTCATTGTACGGTACGTTTCATCCCGCTAGCACTATACTGGCCAGGGTTTTTTTCTCGCTGATACTCATACTAAGTCTATCGCTTGTAGTAGTGATGACCAGTATAAGCACGTGGATCACCAAAGAGGCGCACAGACCGATCAAATTGTTATTTAAATATTTGGCCCGAAATTCAATAATACCGGTTCACATACGGCTTAAGATACTCATGTATATCGAGCGTCTCGCGGGACCCGATATTGGACTCTATTGTTTAGATTTGTTTCCAATGAATAGATGGGAATTATTTCAATTAATGTATATCTCGGGATTAAATTTTATTTTATTAATGAATTCATTATAATGTTTTTTTTAATAAATTGATTGTATATAATTTAGTTTTCAAAATATAATAGTTTTTATATAAAATTGCTTAATAATAAAATATTTATTTATTTAAACCAGACGTTTATTAATTATACATTTTTTAATTCAGAAATAATATTTTGAAAACTATTTATTATAATTAAAGTATAAGATTATTTTAAGTGTAAATGTTTTTAAAAACATTTTTAGAAATTGTCTAATTGTAAAAAGTTTATAATATATATTTTAATGATAATTGATTTAATAATATTGATTAATACAATTTGATAATATATTAATATTTCATTATTATTATAATCAATAAGATTACAACTATTTGTCAAATATTTAATTATTTAAACCAAAATTTTATTTATTATATAATTAGTAAACTTAAATGTTTATTATGACCTAATTTAATATATTAATAGATATTTTAAAAATTATTTTTACAAATAATAAATATGATTTTTATTAATGTTGAAATTTAAAACTTGTTTCATAAAAATATTAAGTAAATATAATAGTATATAAATAAATTTAACTTAAAACTTTAATTTAATTTTTATTATAATAATTTTATTAATTTGATTTTATAAAATATTTTTAAAATTATAAAATTATAAGTAAAATATTTTTATAATATAATTATTCGTCGATTATAAAGAATAATTTATATGTTTTTATATTATATAAAAATTAAAATGACATTATATGCATAATTTATTTTTTTAAGTTACTATAATATCATTTTTAAAATAAAATAAATTTTAATATAATATAACTTACAAAATACTCAAACTTATGTGTTTATTTATTATTTTGCATAATAATCAAAATATTTCAAAATTAATTAAATTTTCATTAAATTGTACAAATATTTTTATAAAAGATGATTAAAAAATTAATTAATAAAATAAAATTTAATTATAGTTATTATGATTTTATGATTTTAGCCGAAAAGTTGGAATATATATCTGGGTTTTACACATTAAGTATAGCATATAATGTTGAGGACTATATGCTAAATAAACCTAATGTTCAAAAATTTATTATTGTTGCTTTAATTGATTCACTATTATTATTCAATACTATTAGATATATTATTATAGCTATTATCAATAATGTAAGTACACTACTACTTCTATTGTAAATGTAAAATTTTTTTTAAAAAATTAACTATTTTTTTATAAATAAAGCAATGGATTAGTGAAGTGATGGGTGTGCCCACTGTTCACGTATCGGATCCTAAACTCATTTCATTAATTATCAGTATTTTTTCGTTTGCCGTTTACTACATCCGGTCACTCATTCACTATAACGAGTGGTTACGTAAAGCATATTTTATTAAATATGTCTTTCAATTCAAAAACAATTGCTTTGAATACATGATCGATGAAAATGTTTTGAAGTCAATGTGTTTAAAGGTATCAATTTATTTGCGACATATGATTAAACCTCTAGTATATATTAATACTGTCGCCTCTATTGCCATAATGGGATACTCATACAAACGATCGCTACAGGATCCCGGTTCACACATACCTATAGTCAATATGACAGTGGCTATGATTATGTATTCAGTGTTTGTCTATCAAACATTTAGTTTAGTATTTGTCGGTTATGTTATGTGGTTTGGTGTTGTATTATTTTGCAAAATAAAATATCGGGAATTACACGATCAAATGTCCGCAATTATCGATACAAACAATAAGTGGCGTCAATTAAATCACGTAAAACTGTTGTCATTAATTAAAGAGCACAACGGCTTTACAAAAGTTGTCGACGATTTTAGTCAGTTTTTCAAATATATAATGTTTGCCATCTATTATATGGTAACACCCGGTATAATGGTGTCACTGTATGGTACGTTTCATAATGATAGCAATAAACTAGCCAGGATATTTTTTTCGTTAATTATGATAACATGTTTATCACTGGTCATAGTAATGACAATTGTCTGCACTTGGATTACCAAAGAGGCTCACAAACCATTGAAACTGTTGTTCCAGTATTTGGCCCGAAAAAACACTATAATACCGGTTCACATACGTATAAAACTACTTATTTATATCGAGCGTCTCGCGGGTCCCGACATTGGACTCTATTGTTTGAATTTATTTCCTATGAATAGCTGGGAATTATCACAATTAATGTATATCTCGGGATTAAATTTTATTTTA